AATACCAAAAGCAAAAAAGTTTTTTTTTTTTTTTTAGCTAATTAAAATGCAGTAAAACATGGTAATCTTTTGTAAAAGGGCAAATTGTCATTTGTAAAAACACAAATGTGGACTGATGTATCGTTTTCTTTTACACTCCACACGTAAATCAATACATTTTTCTGTGATTTTATTTAACATGTAGCGGAAAACCCTAAAACAAAAGTTAAAAAGTTATTTACCATTTTCCAATCCTTATGCTGCATATTTTCCTTCCACATAATGCCAAATATTTGTAACATCATAATTGTTTTTCCTGATTTAAACACTGTAAACCAATGGATTTTTGTTTTTGTATTTTTAGCTGGTTTAAATCCAGTGAAACAGTTTTGAGTCATTCAACTTTGTCGGAAACATCTAAATTATTACTTGTAAAAATACAGATGTTGACATTATTTACAGTTTTGGCCTGTTTTTTAAGGGTTTACATGTAAATTAACACTTTTTTCTGTCATTTTCACTCGATATGATCAATTAGCAAAACTGAGAAAATCTATCAAAAACTACATTTTGAACTGTTCAAAAACATTTCTTCTTTTATAGTGTAGCTTCAGAAGCAAAACATCAACAGAGGCAGCTCTATACAAGCACAGTAAAAATGAGAGCAATAGTAAAAGGAGGGAATGTGGTTGTACAACATAACCGAAATCATGTGTGTGGTTTATGAAGTTAGAGAGCCCATAATGATGGAGTATTAAATGATTGTAGTGCCATGAGGTTTGCTGGTTTCAGAGGAGGGGGGCACGTATAAAAAGCCAGCTCCCATGAACTCCTCTGGCACCCAGAAACTGGATTTCGCAAACTCATCCAACCTACTACAAGCAGCCCTCCTTCCCATTGTCACTGAAATAACTCGAGCTCCTGAAGGAGGTTCGTTTTCTGCTGGGTTTTCAAATACTACGCTGTTGTTCTGCTGGCGGCGGGGAAACAGCAGAGGTTACGGAGGTCAGTCTCCAGCCAACAGGAGCCGCTGCCATGTTTAGATGCTGCAGGAGCCACGATGTTCGACCGCTGGAGCGTCTGTGGACACTCAGCCCTGGTGAGGTGGTCCAACAGTCCCCCACTGAGCATGTTTTTAGAGAGCGTAGGCGCATTATAATGGGACATGAGAAGGAATTAATAGCATCAACTGGTGTTTGTCTTTTACTTTTTTAGGCACATAGGAAGGTACAGATTACGCAAACTTTACAATTCTTACTCACTACTATCTCTGATTGAAAAGACCAGGGGTGTCATGGCAGTCTTGAATTTCCAATGACTCCTGTAACTCAGAATTTTCTATATTGGAATCATTACAGCTTACTTTGTTGCAAAAAAACACAAAAAACAAGAATCAAGCATTTTGGCTCTTTCATAGATTTATTCAAGGTCTTTTGGAAATATGACAAAATCTGCTCAGTCACAAGCACTACAGTGGGAAGTCTAAGGAGCTGAGTCCAAATTGTTGACTTGAACAAGTCAGGAAAGTTGCTTGATGTCACTTGAAAGCAGCTACAGATCCCCAAATCATCTGTGCAAACAACTGTTTGTAAGTATAAAGTACCTGGTAAAGCCCTGCCACAATCAGTAAGAAAACACAAACTACCCCTCGCGGCTGAGACACAACTGGTCAGGAAGGTCAAGAGTCAAGAATTACTAAAAAGCAGGTCTGCAATGAATGAGAAGCTGCTGGAACACAGCTGTCAGTGTCCAGTGTTTGACAACACCATGGACTAAGAGGCTGCCATGCAACAAGGAAGCCCTTCCTTCAGATATGGCACCTTAAGGCTCGACTGAAGTTTGCTGCTGATCACATGGACAAAGAAAAGGCCTTCTGGAGGACAGGTCTGTGGACAGTTGAAACAAAAAACTACCTTTTTGGCCACAATGACCAGAAATATG